TGTAGCAGAACCCTAAAAGTAAGAAAAATGTTTGAATTTGTAAGTCAATTTATTTTGTAGGAAAATGAGTGATAGAAAATGAGTTTTTGAAAAAAATGGAACCAAACATAAGCTAAATTTGAATTTTAATTTTTACTAAACAGGACTTTATAATATTTTGGATTATAATTTTTAGGTATTGCTCATCCATTTGAATTTATCCTGGGGTCGGTGGGTAAGGCATTACTGTCTCCATTATGAATAATTCTGTTTGGACAAGACCTAAGCCTAATTGGCACCCCCTATTGGATGGGGGCGCCATTCCAGCGCCCTGGATAGACAAGGCCATTGCCCCTCCATCATGTGCAGATTTTAATTTATACAATCCAATTTGACATCCTCCCAAACCACTTGCTTGACAATCATTATTTAGGGAAAAAAAAAATTTATTTTGAATAGTAATTTTTAGAAATTTTTTTTATTAAAATGTAAGAAAAAATTTTGGATTTGTATATATATTATATTTTATTATCTGAGTGTGTGATTGGAATTTTTTTTTTTTTCAAATAATGATTGTTATCAGCTAATAACACAAGTTCCATTTTGAATAACTTCCAATACTATATATATCATGTTTAAAAACCTACGATATGACATCGACGTGAAAAAAATCAAGGATGATATAGTAATACTGCAACTAAGCCTATGTTTGGTTTAGATACAAATCAAATTTTTAGTAAATTTTAATAAAATTTGATGAAATATGTTATTTAAAAAGTTGTGATAAAAAGTGTGGTTAAAATTAAGTGTTGACTTTACATTGAATTTTAATCCACTTATTTAGTGGAACCAAACATGGACTAAATCAATTGAAAATGATTTTTGAGGTACAAAAATAAAAACCAAATATTACGTTTTATGATGTCAAGAACAATCATAAAAATCGTAAAAACATATATAATTTACATCGAAGCACTATCTCCCATTCTCACAATTGTTTTTCTTTCTTTCTTTTTTTTCATGTAAAACAATTAAAAGATCAAATCAGGCATCTACTATTCAATTCATTCTTGATTATCTAAAAATAAGATATTGCAATGTCAACAGAAAACATTAGGGACTGTTCTCTTTGTATTTCAATTTTGTAATTTTGAATTTTGAATTCATTTTGGATTTTGTGTTTTGAGTGTCTGTTTTGAAATTACTGAAAATACGTTATTTTTGTCATTCTAGAAAATTGTTTCTCAAAACATAAAATTAGAAAACGCGTTTATTTTGAAATTTTGAGAATATTTTTTTATAATATTTTATTCAAGAAATCTGATTATTTAATAAATTTTAATGTTAATATAGTATTACATAACATATAAATTTTGAAGTTGGTGGACTCGAATTATTTTTTCCCAGATATAAAAACACAACCTAAATTAAATTTGGCAAATCAGTTCAATGCCATGAAAACTAGTAATGTCTCACAAGAAATTAGTGCCAGAAGCCGTGAAGATATGGTCCTCTTGTATGCACCCACATCAACTATGTAACCATAACCCTTCTTTTTCCTCGCATAATGAATGTATCATCCTTCTCGACATTGACATGCAACCGATGAATGAGAAAGAAAAGACAATTTGGTTTGTGCTTTTGATTCTCCGACTCCCTTTTTGTGTCTTTTTCCCCTCTAAACTTGAAGAAGTATATCTAGACAATTTCCTGAGGTATCCCACACATGACTAGAGTACTTTTTGTGACTTCAATTAACAACTTATTTTACCAGACATCCTAGCACGCATCAAAAGGATCTTATACCTGTAATCCATTGGTTTTTATTCTAATATCACCATCAAATCACATGAAATGAACGAGAAAGAAAAAGAACGATGGATATCAGCAGGCATTATCAACCCTCATTTGCCCTGTCCATAGTGATCACATCATATCAATCCAAATCATAGCATGACATTCCAAATCATAGCACAACACATTAATCCAAATCACAGCACATTCTAACAATGGATAGACTTGATAATTTCTAACAATTTGATTCAATGAAGAAAAGAATACACAGTAGTGGAAATATAAACAGCAAATCCAGAAAAAGAATCTCTCCCTAAGACCCTAACTAATTTACACAGATAAATGCAGAATAAACCAACCCGCTAAACAAGCAAAATTCTAATTATTTCCTTCTAGACGATTCTTCTGTTGCTTTATTACAAAATTCACATGGTTTTGCCTCCTGCCAACACTCCAACTGAGCTGTGCCTATAAGTCCAAATCAGGTAGGGAACATAAGTAACAAAGAATAAAACCAAATAATCAGTTACAGAAGCTATCACTAAAGTTTTAGGTGCACAGCAAAAATAAAAAGCCTTAGATACTACAAAAATAGTAAATTCCAAACTATAAACAAGAATTCGGTCAAATCCTAAATCCTAAACAAATGTCACTGAAGTCGCTACCTACCACCCCCGTGCCTGCCAACATTCTGCAGTCGAAGCAATTCTATTAGATTCAAAAACAAGGAAAAACAAATGAACTAGGGAATCATTAGGATGGGGAATTTCCAAGAGTTACATGGAGGTCACGCGTGAATCGGTGCAATTAATCCCTTCCCAACCACAGGGATCCGATTCTTTCCAGTCTGGGGCCAGTTACTCCAGCTAGATTTGATGGCATTTAGGGCAGCAATTGCAATAAAGGTAAGGTAAAATCTACGTTCAGACCAACAGAAGATGCTTGCATATACATTAAATACAATAAGAGCACCTAGAGAACTACAGGAAACTAAGAATAAGGTTGATGAATATTCTCATTTCAAACTCACAACATTCCAGTCCATAGTAATTGGGATATGATGGCAACCTAATTCTGAATATATATGGAAAGGAGGGTATCTAATAAATAGGCAACTGCATACCCAGAATTCAGAAACCCAATTAGAACTGAAAATGTATATAAGCCAAAATTATTGCAACTTCAGTTGATGTACAACAACTAATATTTCAAAGAGGAAAAAAAATTAATTTAGAAGACAGGCAAAAACCCTTGTAATAAGCACATCTCCAAACTTTATAGTAACTTCAGTGACATTTAGAGGATAGGCAAAAAAAATTAATTTAGTGACTTCAGTGACATTTCAGCCAAACCCTAAACAAGAATTTATTGACATCAAACCTTAAACAAATTATAAACAAAAATTCGGCCAAATCCTAAACAAATGCATAAAGTGCATACACTCACACTCGGTTAAGAACAGCAAATTCCAAACTGTGAGAATGCATTGCAGAAGCAAAATGCAGAAAATTCCAATAACAGCAGCAATTCCACAATATTCATCTTTCTGGTCTCTATCTAGGACGTTAATGAAGAGCATTAATAGCAGCAAAGAACAAAGAGACAACATATTTCTTCGAAAACCCCATTGCCAATTCCACAACTCTATATCTCTATCTATATATACGTATGTGTATATATGTATTTTGGAGTAGAAATTTGAAAAGAAAAAAGGGAAAATTCTTACGATAAGAGAAGAGAGATGCAGGGATAGGGGAGAGACAAAGTATTAGAATGTGAATTCGCAAACCGTTAAAATTAACCCTTAAAGAGTTAAACAAAAAAAGAAATGCTTACCCATCAATAAAATTTCATCAATTTTGTTGGGACCGAATCTATTTCACAGCTCACGGACTACTTTCACAAGCACACTCGATTCTGGACAAAATTGTAGTTGACCCATGGTGGTACTGGATTGCGCCTGGTTGAAAGAAGTGGAGTGGTGATGGTCCGCAATCGAAACGGTGGCCGACAGTAGTGGAAATATGGCGAAAACGATGACTGTTAGCGCGATTTTGGGTGGTAATTGCGGCAATTTCGTGGGCAGGTGATAACAAGAGGTTGAAGAAGGAGACAAGGAGGTTCGAATGGTAGTGGGGTCTGGTGGTCTAGGTAGCGGGTGGTGGTCGATTGTTGAGGAAGAAGGCAGTGGTTCTCTCACGCACAGTTTTGAAAGAAAAGGAATTTAAGGCTGTTTTTCGCGTTTTGGTTCATTTCAGTGATTTGGCTTCAAAACGATTTAGACGTTTTCCATTTTTAGTACATTTTATTTTTTTTTGTTTTCCAAAATTAAGTGGAAAAAAGAACGCGTTTTTATCGTTTTAAAAAATCGAAAACAAAAAAACAGCTTGAAAATGGCAAAGAGAACAACCCCTTATTTTTTTCATAGACGTGTTGTCACATACCTGTATATTTATTTAGTTTGTTATTACTATTATGGCGATTCAAAAACAATTTATAGTATTTAATAATATTTTTTTTGTTATTGTTTTTATATAGTCTTCGCCATTTTGAACATGTATTTCTGTTCTCTTCTTGAACATCGGACGGTTCATCATGAATTCTGAAAGCTAGATCAGCAGTCTCCTTTTCTTGTACAATTTTTTTTTGGTCAAACTAAAATCCTATTACGTGTTTCTTATCAGGTGGGGTACCTGGCTATCACCATAATTATATATATATATATATATATATATATGCGCGAGCTCGCACACACGTAAACAGTATTTTTAACCCATTTCCAGTTCAGGAATTTGAAGTCTTTCTTCAATTCTTCGTATCTCTCTCTCACTAGTACGAATTTTTCATTCCTGAAATCACGATATCCATTGCTATTATTTTTTACCAATAGAATATTAGCAACCACAAATTTATTGTTAATTTTGAGATCGTTGTAGTTACCAAAGGATCGTGCTATAGGTAAAGAGTAAACATTTTACCAACGAATTTTTCATTTGTAAAAATCTTAACCATTACCAACCAACTTTTCGGTGGTAAATATCTACCATTATAATTGGTAAAAATCAGTTTGTAAATAGCCATATAGGTGTGAGGTGTGGTAAAAAAAAATTTTTTTTTTTTTTTTATTATTGTTTAGTTTATAATTGTAATTTTTTAACTTTTAGCTAACTAAGTTAAAAGACCCAAAAAATTATTTAACCACTTATTGGACTCCAAATTTATAGATGGTAAATCTAAAGATTTTGTTGTGAACTTTCGATGTGGGATAATAATTCCTTTGAAATTGATTAATACTAGCAACAGCAATTCCGTCGGTAATATGAACTACTTTTCGCTAACAGAATATCTGTAGTTAAAAGGTTGATACAGTTTTTTAAAAAAGGTTGAATTAAATCACCTACAAAAATGATGTTGGTAAATGGTACGTATATTAAACAATATCATTAAGCACGAAATATCCGTTGGTGAAGAGTTGTCACTTTTACCAACGGAAATTCTTCTGTGATTTTCGTAGTTAAAAGTCAAAAACTAATGCCAACGAATAATCCGTTGGTAATTATCCCTAGTTGAAAAGCTTATTTGTATTAGTCCCTATGTGTGTGTGCGTGTGTGTGTTTCTTGGAGCATATTTGTCTTAACAATTTGACAAATTAAGGCCTATTTCTAATAAATTTGGGCTTTGCTTGACAATATTTTTTGGTTATTAGTAACTTCTTTTCTTTGTTATCTGGGCATTGGTATTCTTTCTTGTGTTCCTACTTCCAGTAGTTCTCCAACTTGGTAGTTTTCATCATTCGTTCAAGGTTGAGCCCAGTTGTAGGGAATCATTTAATGGACAAATACAAGTAATATGAACGTATATTCAACCACTTTGACGAAAATGGAGACGTGAAAATATCGCCTTGTGAGCTTCAAAAGTGCGTTGGCCCAATCGGTGGGTTGATATCAATAGAAGAGGCAGGCAGCCATCACATTGATCGACTCAGACAGAGATTGGTGATTGTATTTGCAGGATATTGTGAAGCTAATTGAAGAAGCTAGATAAGAAGAAAAGGTAAATGATTTGAAGGACGCATTTAGAATGTATGAAATGGAGGAGAGTGGTTGTATAACACCAAAGAGGTTGAAGAGAATGCATAGTAGAGTAGGAGAATCTAAAACCATTGAGGAATGCAAATTAATGATAGGTCATATGATATCAATGGATATGGACAACTCAATTTTGACGAGTTCAAGGTTATGATGTCTTGTTGACCTTTGTACATATTTGTCATTCATTGTTTTTATAGGTTTATTAGACATTCTTTCTACATGTTATTTCCTACACATTAGGTTATTCATCTATTATTGTATCATATTGTTAGTAAAGTGGATTGTTGACGATAGAAATAGGATCAACAAATCCTCTCATCTAACTAGGACTTTCACCATTTCTCTAATTTTGATTCAAACATGAGCTAGAGATGAAATAATTATTTGGAAGGGATATATTTGAGTTGCATGCATTTCTCTTCAAATTAGAGAGTATTTATAGTTTTTCCTCCCAGCCTTGGGGGGGGGGGGGGGTAATTTGATCATTTTAGGAAAATGATAGATGGGGACTCCTTGTTGGCTTTTGAGTAATTGATTCTATTACAAGTGTCATGCTTTATGTGCTTCTTGACAACTTGTGGCTTGCTTGGACTGAGAAGGGTTCGTATTTATTTTATGCTAACCCTTCATGTCTCAATTCCACTTGCATACTGCTACATGCTTTGCAAGGAATTGTGTAAGGTTCGCAGAGCAGGTTTTTTGGGTTAAAAAGTATCCCTGAAGTCTGATTTTAACATTCATATTAAATCTAGGATTTGTTATTTCTTTTGCATTGTGAACCTAATATTGTTCACACGTATTTTTCTTCTTTAGTGGTGGATGACCTATGTCGTTTTGAAGGGACATGTTATGATTGTTGAAGTCGAAAATCTTCCCTCTCCTCTCTTTGCTCCTTTCTATTTGTTGTCCCCGTTAATTAGCTAAACATGGCAAAGTTGATTATTTTAGTTCAAACGTAGATGTAGATTTGGCCACTATGATTATGAGGTGACTGCAGATTTTGTGACTGAGTGAACAGTGCGATCATTCCAGTTGTAATTGTGGATTTGAGGTGGTAATTGAAAAAAAAAAAAAAAAGTGGAACCCCAACGGGCCCCCACCGCCCCCGTCCCTAGAGCTTTGTGAGGGAGTTAAATCGCGGAATGTGCCTCAACGGGCCACGGAAGAAGAGATGTCTGTACACTGCGCCTACAAAGAGTCCAATTCCATATCTCAAGAATCGAACTCCCACACTGCGACTGTCAACAAGGCGTGAGATAACCTCACTCCTATCCTTTACACCATTGAGCTATGCCTCGGGGGGCTGAGGTGGTAATTGTGTATTAACAGTGGTGATGATGGTTGTGGTTTGAGGTGAAGGAAAGTGATGGTGTGCTGACCAATGTTATGAAAATCGATATGGATTAGTCAATTCAGCTGGAAAAACCTTAATCTGATGGATCATCAATCCGGTTGATGCTTGAAATCACACGTATGAAAATCGGCTCAAAAATTGAAAATCTGAACATGGAAACCAAAATTGGCAACCCGACTACATTTATATCGAGTCTTCCTATTGATTTTGAGAGAGAAAAATGTAAGTTAAGAAGAATCTGGACCGATCTTTCTTCTAACTTCTTCCATTTACCTTGTGCTCACTGATGCAATATATGGTACCCAAAAGAGAAAGAGAGAGAAAAAAAAATAAATAAATAAAATGAACCAAGAATCTATAAATTAATTAGAGATGCACTGTCTTCTCTTCTCTCGAACTATTGCTACTTGGAAGGGATATAATCAGTGCTTTAGTGTGTCGGATTCTCTCTAAATTTATGTGGACCTATTTAGTTTTTTTAGGACGTAGTCCATATAGGTTTTTTTTTTTTTTTTTTTTTTTTTTACAAGGTGTCCGGGCTTGCGTCCAACTAGATCCTTGTCCCTGAACCTCCGGCCCCTCAGCAGCTCAGAAAGGTAAATCGCAGGATGTGCCCTTGTTGGCTCCCAGGTTCACACAACTCATTTGGACTCATTCCGCAAAGAGAGCTCTCCTCACTGGGCGTTTATTCACACCAATGACTTCCTCTCCATATGGCTCCCAGTGTTAACTCCAGGAATCGAACTTCCCACCCTTGCTTCCAGCGTCCCAACGAAGTGATTGTTCTACCAACTCGGATGTGCCCTGGGGGCTAGTCCATATAGTTTTTATTTTATATTTAGTTGCATTTGACACAATTTTGTGTTAATTTGATAAGAAATGGTTATTAAAATAATTATTGAAAGTTAAATAATGAATATTAAAAATACTATTTTACTTGATATAAAATTTTAGTAGAAAATATATCATTATATGATTTATTTTTTCATCAAGCTATATTATTTTCGATTTGACCCGATTCAACCCTAATTCAATTCTCACTTTTTTCCGAGTCAATTTTCAAAACATCGCTATTGACTATGGAGTTGGTGGTGATGATTGTGAATTTGAGGTGAAGGTTGTGGTGGTGGTGGTTGTGGAATTGATGTGTTGACGACGATTTGGTTGGTATCGATAGTGAAATTAGGGTGGAATGAGATAAGGTGAGGTGAATAGTATTTGTCGTCAGTTAATTGAATAATTTGTGACTAATAAATAATTTATGATTTATTAAACATGTGATTTGACATTAAATATGTGACTGTAATCCATAAATTGTGTTTTATTGATCAGCATGTAATCGTGGTCAAAAATTGTGTATGATTGTGACATGTTTAATTAATTTATAGGTGACAACATTTTATTAGACTAATTATTGTAATTTTTTTACAAATTTATTATTTTTGATTTATAATTCGAAACATTTGTACTTATGATTTTTTCCAAAAAAAAAAAAATTCTCAACAGGAACTTTGAGATTGTATTTACAATTATTTATAGCTAAGTTGGTCTAAATTTTCAAAACGGCCCATTTAAATGAAAAATGATCTCGTCGTCTCAATAAGTTTTGAGATTTTAATTGCAATTATTTAAAATCAAAGTACTAATTATTCAATCCACGTAAACCTCATAAACTTGAACATCTTAAAATTCATTAAGAAAAAAAAAAAAAAAAAGAGGCAAAAATTGGTTATACGAGCTTTTTTTCAAATCAATTAATTTCGACTCGTAATTTTTATTTACGACATTAAATCAACGTGTCAATTTAGAATATTA